TCTCTACTTCTCTACACTAACACAATTGTCACACACTATACATATATGAATATTCAAGATGGCGATGAAATGTTGCAAGTTCTTCCGTTCGGCGAACCTGGCAATTTACGGAACATTTTTCGTGACCAACTTTTTACCATTTTACCTATGTCATTACATCTCCTTATTCATACTTCATGTGCTGTGCTTATGCTTGCTATGCATTTCATGTGCTCCCGGTCTAAAGTCGGGAACACTGTCTTTTGCATAACTCTGGCTGCGTTCGTTTTGGCACTTACAGCGCTCACAATATCATTTCATCCTTGTTGTTTATCAAATGTTAAACAAAGACAAATAATGCTTATAAGCGCTGTAAGTGCCAAACCGAACGCAGCCTCTGTATAACGCATAAATTCCGAAACACAATAGATGGAGTAAGCCTTAAACCGTAAGAAATTGTTCAATCATAATCCATTATTCTCTTCATTCGATTACGATTGGTCCGTTTCTTACGGCTTATACTTTAAGGCTTACTACATTTATACTTTAAAGGTCCATTTACAATGGGAGTAGTAAGTCATAAGCCGTAAGAAATTGACCAATCACAGTCGAATATGAGAAAAATAATCAATTGTGATTGGTTAATTTTTTACGGCTTACGACTTACTACTTTCATTGTAGATGGACCTTAAGGCTTACTACACCAATTGTGTTTCAGGACTTATGCCCCATTAGTGCCGGTCTACAATAAGGCTTTTATGCCTTAGTCCGTAAGATATTGACCAATTACAATCAATTATTTTCCTCATATTCGACAATTGGTCAATATTCTACGGACTAAGGCTTATTGTGAACCGAGACTTAGGTTGAATTCTCATGCAAGCTGTGTTTCGATATATACTGCCAGTACTGGCAGTACTGAAAAATTGTTTCGTTATGACTACGCAGTGTACATACATAGGCTGCGTTCCTTTTGGCGCTTACAGCGCTTATAAGCATTATTTGTCTTTGTTCAATATTTGATAAACAACAAGGATGAAATGATTTTGTGAGCGCTGTAAGCAGCTGTAAGCGCCAAACGGAACGCAGCCATAGTAGAAATACAAAGGTATGCTCTTGCGCATGTTGATTTCCGAGCGACCAATCAAAATTTATGTATAACCTACGTCATGGCAAGGAGTGCAAGAGAGAAAGGTATACGAAATATCATGTGATACTTCATTCTCTGTCTGTCCAGTTCCGAATGTGACGTAGCTGTGACGTACGTTATATGAATGCACAGTGGTCTTCCACCGATTGAGCATACCCTTGTCTTTATACCATGGTAATGTACTGCGACAACATCTAGTTACATTAATGACGTCATAAATGGTAGTCATATTGCCACTGCGATTACTGCAGCTTTCGACGTAAGGCAGTTACAGTGCAATATGACGTCGAATCTTTGAGTATATAGTATGTACATAGAGGTGGAATGCCTTCGTTCTTTGTAGACCGCAAGCGAGTCCAAGAGTGGCAAGGAGTGCGAGAGAGAAAGGTATACGAGCGATACCACGTGATAATTTGTCCTCTCTGGGTGCGTTCAGGGGAACGCTATTAGCGCTAACGACGCAAACGCCATCAACACTGTTCATGGAGCCAATAGTGTGATAGCGATTCAAGCATCATGAACGGCATTAGCGTAGCATGGCCAGTGGCCACAGTATAATCCGCTTGAAAAATCACATATTAACATCTTGCCTGAGGATTCCCATTAAGGAAAAAGAAGAAGACAGATTTAATTGGAGTAAGTGTATCACATTTAATAAGAATTATCTCTTGTTTAAACATTATATCTACATATATAGATTATCAACGTGTTTTTTAGGTTGTATATATTTTATATGTACACATTTGTATATATTTTTTTAAAGATACATTTATTATTTTCACAAGCGTAAACATTTACGGATTTCATTTTTTTACAGCAATTGAATAGAAGTTATCGGGCAATTAAACAATTATTTCCCAAATTAGAAATGGAAGCAAACCGAAGAGAGTTGATACATATAATAACATTACAAGTACGGGAATTAATAGATGTATCGAGTGACAGTGATGAAGAATTTTTTATATTGAAAGAAATATTTAATAAAAGAAGAAAAGTGTGCAGAGTGCCTAATTATGTTGAAACAATAGTGTCAATGTTAACGAGTCAATACTTCAAAGCTCATTTCAGGTATCACTTAAATAATGACTTTCTAAAAAAAACGGTATATAAAAATAGTATTATATTTATTTGAATAAAGAATGTAATATATAATTGATAAACAATAAGTGATACATGATTTATAGAATGCTTCCTGAAACTTTCGAATATCTTCTGAATATAATTGGACCGAAACTACAAACAGAAAAAGGAGGAATACCTGCGATTTCTCCACAAAAACAGTGTCTGTTGGCAATTTGGAGATTAGCAACCCCAGATTCTTTTAGGTAATATAAAAGCAAATGCAATAATCAAGCATCAAAATGATACTTCTGTTGAATTGCGTTAATCATCTAACAATTTTTATATTTTTTATTGCTTAATGTTCAGGTCGATTTCTGACCGATTTAATGTCGGTATAGAAGTACTGCCTTATATATAACAAGACGTGTTGTAAAAGCACTAAATGAATTGGCACCTAATGTAATAAAGTGGCCTACAAATGAACGAGTGCAGCAGCAAGTGTGGGCAGGATTTGAGGCTACCAGTGGATTCCCAAAGATCATTGGTGCCATTGATGGCACACACGTCAATATTCCAGCTCCAAAAGAAAATCCAGAATCCTACATCAATCGCAAAGGTCACCATTCAATTCAGCTTCAGGTAATATGTCTTTCTGCTTCAAGATTCTCCAATAAATATTTGAATTCTTTACAATTTTCTTGTTGCTATTTCCGTTTCTTGCAATTTAAGAAAAATATTGTAGGTATTTCCAGCTAAATTTGCATCGTTCAACTTTTCTTTTTTTCTCTACATTGGAGGAAAAAGAAAGAAAGATGAATAATGCAAGTTTAGCTGAAAAGAATGAACTATTTATAATTTTTTTCAATCTTGTACTAAGCAATTGAAAGTCAAACACATAACATTGTTGTTTTTAACGCGAGAAGCAGAAATATAGTGACAACAAGAAGTTCTAAAGAAATTAAGATAATTTTATTAAACATTTTAGTGTTAATGTTTTCCATGCAAATTCATCTAATCTATATTGATTTGTATGTCTCTTTTTTCAGGCTATCTGTGATCATAATTGCCAGTTTACTCATTGTTACATTGGACAAGTTGGATCTGTTCATGATCAGCGAGTGTTCTGTTTGTCAGAAGTGCAAGCATATTTAGGAGATATATCAAAGTTCCCAGAAGATTGCCATTTGGTTGGAGACTCAGCTTACAAATTGCACGAAAACTTATTGATACCATATTGAGATAATGGACACTTGACAGAACGTCAACGAAATTATAATTTTTGTCACGGTTCAGCACGAATAGCTATCGAGAGAGCATTCGGCCTATTAAAAGGACGTTTTCGAAGTCTTCTTACAACATTAGCGATAGACAGAGTAGATTTAATACCAATGCACATTCTTGCCTGTTGCATACTACATAATATTTGTTTGATGAAAGGTGATGATCTTGATATAGAAGTAAACGAAAATGTTGAAGCAATAGATTGTGTGATCGGCAATAATGAAAATATGCGTAACATAGTTCATGCAGGTGTTGCAAAGCGAGATTTAATAGCTAGAAGATTACTTAAATAAGAAATGTTTAATTTGCATCTTAATTTTGTAAGCTGTTTAGGATATTTTGACAAAAAAATTTATTTATTACCTCTACGAGCAAATATTTATAGATTTAGTTTGCAAAAATTAATATGTTATTAAAATAAATTACAGTATAATTGTCCAAGAAATTTATGTTTTTATTGTATAGTAACATAATAGAAAATATTTGTTATACATATTTATTATATATAAACCATATCGAACAATATAACGCAAATCTATATCTTGTGGACGGCTCTTACAGTGACTTTCTTCGAGTTATAATTATATAATTTGCACTACATAAAAACTAAAAACTAAAAATTATTACTTCTAAAGCCCGTATTAGACTAGATCGAGATTTGACCTTAAAAAATTAAATAAACATTTAACATAAATAAGAATACTGGAGGTTTATAATGTTGGGATAAAACTTGCACTTATTCGCACTCTTTAAATAAAACTTGCACTTA